ACAATTTTTAAATATATTCAATAAATTATAATATTTTAAATAAACAAAAAATAAATTTAAATATATTAATTTCAACATATAAGTTCTATAAATCTTGTCTTTGTGGCTTTTCAAATCCAGACTGCCTTTAAACCTCAAGATATGAAGAGATAGCAGTCAAGATATCAAATGGATGTGGAATTACCATCAAATAAATAATCAAATACCAGTACCATAATCTAAAGCAATTAAATCTAGAACAACAATCTTATATAACAGATATTTATATATATATGTACAATATATAATGATGGAATAATATATTTATTGTCCTCAAAGATTTTATTTGCCTTTATACCTCAGTGTCTTCAGAAATCATTACTGGAATAACACACCAGACAATTCCACACTGTAGCCAAAGTGGTTTTTATTGCTTCTGCTTTTGTAAGGAACAATTTACAAAATACAAAGTTAAAAATAATAATTATATCATTTTAACCTGAATTAAAAACAGACCAGGTGCCATTTTTAACTATGTACATGTAAATAAAGCATTGCTCTGCTTACTCTGTGTACAAACCACAGCATTAGGAAATATAAAGATTATATATTTTATATCAATAAAACAAAAATTCATATTTATACAACTCATACAAAAATAATTCTGTGGTTCTGCTGCAGATTTGACACAAATCTGCTTTAAAGGAATATTCACCTGTCCCAGCCTGTACCTCCCACAAAACCCTTCTGATTCTGGCAGATCCCAAAATAAATTATATCTATTTAAAAAAATAGCACTATTAAAAGCCTTCACTTTAGCAAACTATCCATAAAAGAGTCTGGCCAAATAAACACCTGAAGAAAAGTACCAAGATCAGTGTTTACAAAGCCATAGTGTTGTCCACTCTCTTATACGGTTCCGAATCATGGGTCATCCACTGCCACCAACTGCATCTCCTAGAGCGCTTCCATCAACGCTGCCTCTGCACAATCCTAAATATCCACTGGTCAGATGATGTGACCAATACATCTGTTCTAGAACAAGCAGCTGTCACAAGTATTGAGGCCATGTTACTGAGAACACAGCTGTGCTGGGCAGGGCACGTCTCAAGGATGAAGGACCAACCACTGCCTCCCTAAGATCCTGCTTTATGGTGAACTTGCCACCGGCTGCTGCATGAGAGGAGCCCTGAAGAAAAGATACAAGGACTCCCTGAAACAACATCTCAGCCTTGGCCATATTGATCACCATAACTGGTCTACTCTGGCCTCCAACTGGGAGGTCTGGAGACACACCATCTATAACGCTGCCGTTTCCTTTGAGAACACCCGCAGGATCACTCTCGAGGAGAAAAGACAACGCAGACAGAACCGTGTCCTGTCGATACCATCCAAGGAGTCTTTCTGCTGTACCTTTTGCAACCGGACTCGTCTATCTCGTACTGGCCTTTGCAGCAAATGTGGGTAGAGCCCTTCCCAAATCTTCGTTGGCAAAGCCCAGCCACGATGAAACTCCTCATTCTCAGGAACAATGGGAAACTGATACCAAAAATCACATTAAAATCAAACACCAATGTGACTTCGCCAGCCAACTGTGAGCGGCCCTGTGAGTTATGTACCATCAGATTTGAAAAAAATCCAAGTAATGGTCGTTCTAAAAGGGGGAGAATTTAAAAGAGCATGGCACAAAACCTACAAGGACCACAAAAAACCCCAGCTGGTTCTTGTTTTTATCCTATTCCAGCCAAGATTTAAGCAAGACATGACCGAGACATGGTAATACAGGCCAAAAGAAACCTGTTGGAAACTACTGACCCTATCGAAAAGCTGTGTTTAGCAAGGGGATCTGCTGGCATCAAAGGACTTGGAAAGTGAGTCTAAGAAGTCAAATCCATTATTCAGCCTAATAGTTTTAGCTGCAAGAGGCTCACAGGCTTAACAGGGACCAAAATTTGAGTTTCCTGGTTCCAATGCAAATGCCACAACTTCACACATAACATGGGAAGGATTCTAGGATCCAAAAGTCCTTTGCCTGAGGACTTTGCAGTCTGATGAAGCCCAAAATTAACCTTTAAAAGCCTGTCACTAGTTTTGTCCACTTTTGGAGCTACTAATTGAATTTGAAGTGGCTCCTGGCTGCTCTCAGAACAGGAGAAGCCAAATGTTGTTGTGTCTATTTTGGGTTGAACTCTGCCCAAAAGCTGAGGTGTTGCACCCAAATAGCAAAACTATGTCGTCTTAGAGCCTAAAAGTTATATAACCCTATAGACTGGTAAAAATATAGATGGAATGATTTGCGACAAGCCAATAAAAGGATGTTGGATGACGAATCCAAGCCTTTTAAAACAGATTTTTTTGGATTTGAATATAAGCTTCAAGGGGATTTTTATTGGCCTTCTCAGCTGCAAAGCTGAGCAGCCACTTAAAAAACAAAATATTTGTGTCCTCCTGTTTCTGCCTGTGGCCCTGTAAAAGAAGCATTTTCCAAGAGTGCCAGGGAATGTGTCCAGGAAAACCTCTGACATCAATGTGACCTCTGGCCCAGGACCAGGTGAAGACAAGGCCCAAGGCCAGATCAACTTAATTAGTTCCAAAACATTAATCCAACCTTTTCTTTTTCCTTTTCAAACATATTCTGAGCTACCTTAAGAGCAGAAGCATTTTTTTTCAAGTGTAAAAATGATGCTAATTGTGTACCGAGTGCTACCAGAGCCATTTGGTGCGTGCTGAGCACCACAAACCAGACTAGAGGAGGGGTGTTGCAAGGATCCAAGTGGGAACAGGGGCACCTCCAGTATCCAAACAGGAAAGCAGTGCTGCTCTTCTGCCAACTCTCCATTTCTAGAAGCCCAGGATATGACTGAAGTGTCCCTGAAATGCCAGAATTTCATGTCACTAAAAATAATCTCAACAAAGTCTTTTCCTCAGTGTTTGTTATTTTAAATCACAGCTTCAATAGCAACATCACAAATGTTTTTTCCCCAGGGACTAGGGGATAAAAATCTGGATATTAAAAGGAACTGTTCAGTGTGATCTGTACAAGGACCATGACTGAGTTATGAATTTAGTTTTGTATATGAAGCTAAAATACACCCACAGAAAATAAAGACAATTTTAGCATCATATTTATATACCTTATTCTGTTTTACCAATAATGTTAAAAGATTTTGAGGATAAAAGAGAAATTTACCTTTTGGTTGGCAACCTCTACTTTAAACTCAAGCCTGCATTTCTTTATGTCACGTTGTCTCAGTTCAAAGAGCTCACAGTAATACTTCTAACTAGACTCTCAGTATCAGCTTCTTATTATTTTAAGAAGGAAGAGAATTTACTATTAGAACTCTAACCAAATTTATTGAAGTATCACTGTATTATCTGTTACTGGCCATGAATAACTGACTATGAAGACTCTTCACTGACTGTGAAGAGACCACAATTAAATCTATCCAGAAACGTATTTAAAATCAGAAACAAATTTTAAAATTTGCTTTGAGCAAAGCATTTTCCATCTCAACTTGACAACCTGAAACTAATTTAGGAAGAAGTCTAGTGAGAAGCCCTACAAATGCTCCAGGTTTTTGTAATCCAACCTTGAGTTTGTACATTGAAAGCACAGAACATTCAAAGTAGAAAAGATTTTTAGTTGTAAGCTTCCAGCTCTCACTGAGCTAAGCTGGCAAGGTGTTCTCCTTGTTTCCTACAGCTGTTGGTGAAGAGCATTTAATAGTGAGTAAAACAGGTCATCCAAGAATCCCAAACTTCCATAGATAAATGTTCTGGAAGAGGTGAATTTTACCTCCTCCAATTATCTGGCTTTTATCTCAAGGTCATTATTAGGCCATAGGAAAAAACACGTCAGGCTGATCTGACTGAAAACAGAAATGGTGTTATTTTATTATATTATTATTATTTGGGACGATGGTATTTGTACTCAGTCGTGAGACTCTAAAATGAGGTGGTCACTGACAGAAGTATTTTACAAAGTCTGATGTCACTGTAGCTTTGGAATGCAACAAAACTGACTTAATATGCCGGGTTTTAATCCCAAGATGTTCTTTTGGTTTTGGGGTTTTAACCCCACAGATGTTCTCCACAAAGTGGCCACACTGGTTCCCATATTCCTACAGTCAGCCCTGGATCTGGTTTTCCTTTTATTTTTAAAGATGAGCAGAAATAAGTTGGCACAGCCAATGTCTTTCCAGTCATAGCTCCTGAGTCCTGACAGCATTCAATGGAAACTTTGCCATGAATTCCATCAAATCCCAGATTTTGCTATAAACATTCAGTATCTCCCCCCACATCTCCTCATTTTGGCTCTGTAGGGAGCAGTATCTTCAGGCTACTCATTGGAAAGGAAGTATCCAATTAGAGGGAAAAATAAGAGACAGAAGGAAATTCCTGGAAATTTTGTTATGATCCAGTACATCAAGGGCAATTAAAAATGGGGTAGATAAGTTGTATGTTACTGTTTGCTTTAATTACTCCCTAAACTCTGCTTTTTAGGGAGAATTTGAAAAATGTGTTGCCAGCCTATGTATTTTCCAGCTGCTGTTCCAAAGATATTAATTTGTGCTCTGCTGAAATGCTAAATCAATCTGCCTTTCTTTTTATTTACATGTTTTACTCCTGAGCAATGGCATTGTGGGGTTTATTAACTTTATGTTTAATGGATCTAATAGTTCTGTCCCAGAAAGCAGGTTCACACACTTACAGACTCTCCAGCAACACATCTGGGGCAAGGCTGTGCAGCTCCTTTGCTTCCATGGTTTTCCAAAATCTGATGAACAAAACCACATACAACACTATCAGAAAAAAAAAGGCTTTTTTTTTCTGCAGCTTTACTATAAAATCTATTTAAAATATGATCTTGTAACAAGCAGACTCACAATGTAAACATACCATGGAATTTTGCTTTGGTTTTGCTGCCCAAAGACCACAGTCAGGGGAGAGTTTCTGTCTGGAATCCAGCTCCATGGTACAATCCATGAGGTAGCCATTAGCCTCCCCTGGGATGCTTTCCAACAATTTGCACACTCGTTTCTGAAAGAATCAAAAGCAATATTTCCATGTCTTTGCAAGGCATAGGGCCCAAATTTTCAGGATTTTCCTGTTTATGGCTCCTAAGGATCTCACATTCATTGGGAAGAACACTAAGTTAGGAATGGGCTATGAGACACCAAAACGTTGTATTTCCCACTGCACCTCATGCTGGGTGAGCAGGGAATTCTGCTCATCTCACCATGTCTCTGGGCTTCAGTATCATAAAACTCCACTGGGAAAAGACTCTCCTTCAGCCTCCATTAGTGCAGGATTTAGACTGGTATTTATCAAAGGAGAGGATCAGGGAAGTTGGGTGAAATGACTCATTAAATTCAGGAATGGAAGGAAAACCCTGAAGCCACGTCAGACAGCAATGAGGACACACTTTGTGATATTTCCTCAAATAGTGTCACCTTTTTTTTTCCAGCTTTCCACAGCAGGATAATCAATTAACTTCACCCTCCTGGAGCTCTTACCTGAGCTAGGACCGAGTGACATTGGGATGTCCTGGGAACCGAAGGTGGGAGAAAGGGCTCAGCTAAGCCCTCACAGTGCTGAGCAACTCAACACAAGATCAGGGATTCCCAAAAATACTGCTTTGAACACCCTTTTAGGAACTGGGAAGGTGAAGTTGCAGGTCTCCAGAAAACAACTGGAAACCTTGAGAACAAGATCTTTGGGCTGTGACTGCCCATGGAAAGGAAGGACTACCCAAATCCCAGGGATTCCTTGGAATTGTAACAGCAAACTACCAGAGTAATGGGAAATTATAAAGATGACACAGATTTAGGGTCTGGCTCTGAATTCCAAAGAGATACACACACACTTCTGAAATTTTTTTCCAAACAAACTTAAGGAATACCCATATTCCCTCTCTTTCTCCAGCACATGATTCCTCAGGAAGATGATGTGTTGGCACAGCACCGACAGAGTGTCAAAGCACAGAAACTAAATTTAAAATGGGAATATGATATGCAAAAACTAAAATGGATCACTGCAACAGGAACCTCAGTGGAAAGCAGCTGAGATGGGAACACTGAGAAAGAAGATGGGATATTTGGACGGGAAGGGATGTTTGGATGACAGAAAGGGATATCTGGATGGGAAAGGAATCAAAAAGTGAAGTATCTATTGTAGTAAGAAAGTGAATAATAGAATAACAAAAAGTCTGAGAAGGTCCTCTAAAGAGAGATGGAATTCCACTGGGAAAATATCCTCTTCCCTTTGTTGCTGAAGAATTCATCCCTTATTAAAGGGAACAGCCCCCTGGTGCAGCAGATGACTGGGAACATGTGTGAGATGAAGGAAAAAAAGGGAATAATTACTCAGTGCCACACATCAGAAGGAATCTGGCTTATCAAAACTAAATTCAAGGTACTGGTTTTGGGGTTTAAGGTACTTGGCATCAGTGACTGGAATTCAGGACACAGAGGGGACAAACTCCTCATGCCAATGCCAGGATAATCTGTGGAAGTTTCTTGCTTCAGGAAAGACTTGACTCTCTGGAATTCTCCCTTAGGGAAGAAGCAATCAATCCATCAATCCTGTCTGTGAAAGGAACAGAGGGCAGGATTCAGAGAACCTGTGATTAATAAAGATAAACTAGCTCCCTATTAAAAAGCAAACAGGGATTGCATCCAAACTGCTTTTGTTAGGGAATGATTATGCCACTTCCAGCTTGAAAATGCTGCTGAAGACAAGGAATAACAAATCAAACACAGGCAGAAAACAGATCTCTCTGCAGAGAAGTCACTCTAACTTTCTTTTCCAACTGGAAAGGCCTGGAAAATCCCACGTATTTCCATGATGCTGACAGGGTAAAAGCCTCACGGATGCTGCTTTTCATCAACAGTGAAACCAAACTGGTGCAAAAACTATTTGCATGGAACAACCAACCTAAATACAACAGAAAACAGTTTAAAGAAAGATTATTGCTTCTTCGTTGGTTTGTTTTTTTATAAGATTTGAAAAATCTCCTATAAATTTAATATGTTCATCACAAACAATTTCTGCTCCATTTTTAGAAGCCAGGCAAACTCCTGTTTGAGGTTCCATCAACACCTGTCCTACAACTATAACTCAGGTCTCCAGGCAGCCCAGCTTTCCAGCTCCACTGGATTTATTTATGGAAAGGACCTTGACGGCCATGTGGACATGCTCCTTGTTTTTAGGGCCCAGCTCCCTATGGAAAGATGGCTCTGTTTGGGACAGCAGAGGAAAGATCCATGCAGATCCTTCTGGGACACTTTGCCTGAAGATCATTCCAAACCAGAACACACCAGAAGCTCTGGTCTCGAAAATCTGATATTCCTTTAAGTCCAAATGCCTTAAAACCAGGACAGGGAGCTCCATCCTACAGCAAGTTTCTGAAATCCACAGAAATAACTACATCAGGGTGCAAAAGGAAATCAAATGTGAATATCTAAAACACAGAGCAGGAGCTGAGGCAGAGCAAAAAGAGCTGGGATGGGGCAAGAAATGTTCCAAAGCACCTTGCCTATGCTGCCAGTTGGGCTCATGCTGCCAGCTAAAATCATAGAATTATGGAATCACAGCATGGTTTGGGTTGGAAGGGACCTTAAAGCCCGTGCAGTTCCATTCCCTGCCACAGGCAGGGACACCTTCCACCATCCCAGTTTGCTCCAAGCCCTGTTCAACCTGGGCTTGGACACTTCCAGGGATGGGGCAGGCGCAGCTTCTTATCTTAAATTATATTTAAGGTCCCTTCCAACCCAAACCAGTCTGGGGTTCTGATCCCTCTCTGTCCCACAAGTTTCAAAAGGATTTTTCCTGCTCTACAGACAACCAGCTCATAGATTCGCTTCTGGGCAAACACTAGTTCATGAAGCAGAAAAAAAAAGCTGTTCTTTGCCTCTCTAACCTCAAACTCAGAAGAAACTCCTTCTTCCCTGTGTAACTTTGTCAGTCTCAGGCAAGAAGTTCATAGGAGTTCCTCTCCTTCTCTGTAAAGTGTGTCCCTGATAAATGAAGTTTACCCCTAAACACACAAGTCTTTGCTCGTGTTATACATGGACATGAGATGATCAAAGGAGAGCGGGGCAGTGTGAACACCAGGACTGGTTTTCCTTGGAATTCCTGTTAAGTTTTGCAAAGTGAGCAGCTGGGCATGTTCTAGAACGAGAGATGTTCACAAGGTGGTGGATGGGATGGAGATTTTCCTTGCTAGAATGGAGAAATAGACACACAGAAGCTCAGCTGAAATGGAAAACTACTCCAGAAGCCCAACAGGTAAATGCTAAACACACCATTCCTGGAGGCACATCCTGGAGCCAGGAGAGCAGGAACAGACGGAATTAGTGAGGCCACCTGGTAAAGAGGGTTTGAGCCACAAAAAAAAGAAAATAAAATAAAATTTAGAAAAGAAAAAGGAGGGGAAGGAAAGGGAAAGGGGGGGGAAGGAAAGGGAAAGGGGGGGAAGGAAAGGGA